CAGCCCTACAGAGAATAATAATAGTATATGAATAACAACTGTAAGACGCAGAGCTGGAAAATAAAATTTATGGTAACATTTTATCAACAAAAATCCTAGAGACTATATCACTGGGATAAAAATCAGATGCGGCTTTACTAGAAAAGCTCAGAGCTTTGAAAATAAAATTGAATCCATGTCACGTCCCTGTATGCGTGAGTGTTTAACCAGTGATTCAGACCTTTCATTGCATCATGGTCCATGTCCTCAGAAGGGTTACCACAACGAAAAACTTTCCACGCCCCCCAATCCTGAGCTCCAAGCTCAAGCAGCCAATCAGAGGAGACCTCAGCTGCAGCACTGAGCTATAAAAACCTCACAATGCCTTTCAGCAGCACACAACAGACAGAGCGACATCAGAGCCAGCTTTCATAACGCAGCAGACCACAGACTCTCAGCACACACAAAGATGAAGATGCCACAGCTTCTCATCCTCCTCTTGACCATTTTGGTGCATGTCGCAGCAGGTTTCCCCACTGACAGAAGAGCTCTGCCAGGCCAGGACAAGCACGCCTCCTGGGACGACGTGAACGTGGTGGCTCATGGCCTCCTGCAGCTGGGCCAGGGTCTTAAGGAGCACGTGGACAAGACCAAAGCTCAGATGAGAGACATCAACGCCAAACTCAAAGCTTTCAACAGCACGATGGCCGAGCTGGAGAAGAAGCAGCAGGAGCAAAATGAAGCTCTCATGACCAGAGGAGGAGAGGTGGAGGGGAAGGAGAAGATGGCTGTAGAGCTGGCTGAGGAGGTGAGGGTGAAGGTGGAGGAGGTGAAGAAGCAGAGCGAGGACATCAGCTCCCGGATGGACAGACTGGAGGAGAAGGTGGATGAAGTGCTTACAGGATCGAAACTGGACAGCAACTACAGCGATCACTCAGGAATCCCATTTATCCAGGTGAGGGGAAAACACTGTTTTCATGTTGTTATTTCACCCCAACAGAAAACATTGATCTAATGTGGGTTTTCTTCTACAATGAGATGACTGGTAAAAACTCTTCAAAATCAGAGATCATTTAAAAGGTTTAAATACAAAATTAGATTTAAAAATCAATCAACACTTAATGAAAAATAGACACCAATCAAACAAAAAGCTTCTTTCTTTTTTGTTTTTTAACCACCAGCACTTCAAAATCCTCCATTCTAGAGAGACAGATGTTACATTTGAGACAAAGCTGTGAGAACACAATGATGCTGTGAAGCTGATGTTTTGTTTTGTTGTTTGTCCTGCTCTTTCCAGAGGCTGGTGGCAGCTCAGAACAGACGAATTGACCAGCTGGTGGAGAAAATCAAGCAGCAACAAAGCAAACTGGAGAAGCAGAGTCTGCACCTGCAAGCGCTGCAGAGCAAGGTGAGTTACACGGCGTGGACATATATATAATATTCATATAACACTGACTGTACTGATAAGAGGGGACAAAAATATAGGATGATGCCTCTAGCCGTAAGACTACCGTAACTTTAACAAGAATACAGTTTGTGCTTTTCAGTTTTGAAACAGAAGTGATCTGTTCTGATTTCTGGACTCTGCTCTGTGATTCCTTCAGGTTTCACATAAAAGAGTGAAATCACACAGACGGAGAGATGAAGAGAGGGCACTGAGAGGAGAGGCGGAGGAGAGCAAAGGCACATCAGGTAAGAAAACTGTTCGTCTTAAAAAGTTTATAATGATCATGTTGAAAAGACTTTTTATTAGTGACCAGTGTGAGAGGTTTGAAATCTCAGGCTGCCCTGCAAACATTAACAGCTGAGTTAAAGCTCATCTCCCCCTCAGAGCAGATCTTAAACCATCACCCAGGAGCAAGTAACCTTTGCCCTCATTTCCTCCGGGAATCCCTCTATTAGCATTGAGCCCCACAAACAAAAACAAACCATCCCGTGAGGGACACACCTTGTACCAACCATGGTTCATAGTTAACATAAAGTATTTTGAGGTGAAACACAAATGGTTTAACCCAAACTCATCAAATCAACAGATGCCTGAAAAAAAAAGACACAAAAAGTCTATAGGTCATTAGATAAAACAGCTGTAAAACCTGAATAAATGTCATTCGGTTTGCGTCAGCCAAGAATAAAAAGCACGTACAGTGACATAAGAACAAAAAAAAAAAACTTCACCTTTGCACCTGATTTATAAAAACTTGACTCAGTGGCTGAGCAGCTCACACAGTCCAAAGATCAGGGAAATGAGGACAGCAGCTTCAATAACACACCCACTGTACTGTATGTCTGTAGGACACTGCAAGCTTTGCTCTTAGCAGACTTTAAACTCTAGGTATTTTTTTTTTCGAGTTGCACAGAGCTGAAAATTATGATTAATATTGAAAACTCCAGCATATCTGCAGCTGGACTGAGATTCTGCAGCTGTGAACAAAAACCTCAGTGATTTGATTTACTGAATGATCTGATCTTTTTTTCTGTGTTCTGGTTTTCTCAGGTTTGGCCAGAGATTGTCATGATCTGTTTGTGCAAGGGCAGCGAGCCAGCGGCATCTACACAGTCCAACCCGAGAATTCCCAGCCCTTCAGTGTCCTCTGTGAAATGACTTCAGGTGAGTCAACAGATACGATGCCTGAACACCTCTGGTTTTAATTAGATTAGACCACATTACACAGCTTTTTATCCAAAAACACACACACTTAACAGCACATAAGCAGAGCACAGAGCAGAGTCTCAGAGAGGATTCGTGGCCTTATAAATGGAGTTAAATTTGCTGTATTTTTTAGTGAAATACTGTTTTGTCCTCTTCGGCTCAACCTTTCCTCTCCTCTCTCTGCAGAAGGTGGATGGACCATCATCCAGAAACGTCAAGATGGATCTCAGAACTTCAACCAGCTGTGGGAGAGCTACAAGAAAGGCTTTGGCAGCCTGAATGGTGAGTACAGTTTGCTTAAAATGTTAAAATAAAAAGAATAAAAAATCAAACCTCAGTCACAAAGATGTTAACCTGAACTTTTGTCGTCCCTCAGGTGAGTTTTGGCTGGGCTTGGAGAACATCCACTCCCTCTCCAAACAGGGCCAGTATGTCCTGCAGGTGGAGCTCTCTGATCGTGCGGGAGAGCAGCACATGGCTCATTATCGATTCCAACTTGACGGAGAGGAGAAGAAGTTCGCTCTCCACCTGGAGCAGGAGACATCATCTGGGGCTGAGGAGGAAATCATGACCACTGCAGCTTCTGGTCGTCCCTTCTCCACAGCCGACAGAGACAATGACCTCACTGCAGACGTCAACTGTGCTGAGCTGCTCACAGGTACAACCGCTTCTCTAAAAGGGTCAAATCACCCAAATCACACAACACAAAACATTTCCTCACTTCCCCATTGTCCTCAGCACATGAAGACAAAATTCTCTACTCTTTTCAAATGAAAATAAAAGTTAGTAGCAGTGGCTTTAACAAGGAAACTCTTTTGTTACAGGTGGTTGGTGGTTCAGTAGCTGTGGTGAGTCAAACCTCAACGGCAGATATCCCAGAAGGCCGAGCCTGCTCAGGAGACAGAAGTCCAGAAGACAAGCAATGTTTTGGACGTCCTTAAAGGGACAAAACAATTCTCTGAAGACCACGCTTCTGAAGATCGCACCCGTCACAATAAAGCAATGAGCTGCTCAGTCCGTCTCAAAAAAGTTCATCAGGAAAAAACCAAAGAAAACAAATGTTTTATAACTTAAATGTTGAACTACATCAACAAGCTCTCCTGATGTTTATTTATTTCTATGCTATGCCATATGACAACTATTGTCTCAGTCATATTGACAGTTGTAAAGTTCTTGCCTTTATAAGGGTTTTATGTCTTATTTTGTAATATCTGTTGTATGTGTTTTAATTGCTTTGTACTTAAATAGTGTATAATTTCTTACTGTCAACATTTATACACTTTAAACATTTTATATTTCATTTGTATGAAGTGGATGAAAACAAAGTTTTTAAACTTTAAATAATAAACTCAACACAACTAACTGAACTAACTGAAATAATGGTGTCAGTACTTTGTCTCTATTTTTCCTGTAATTAGCACCAAACCACACGGTTCTTTCCAGGAAACTTTAAAGACGTTATAAAGAAATTACAGACCTGTAAAATAAAGCCATAAAGTCAACTGGCACAGTGTGCTGCATTTAAATTTCTCTCCACAAATGATGCAATTGAACAACAATTAAACAGTGAGATTTGAATTCAACATCATACATCTTTAGTGTCGATTAAACAACTAAATGACACAAACCAAATTTCAGTGTTTGTTGTACTTAAATTAATAAGAATTTGTATCTTCATGTGCTTGACATCTATTATCTAGCAGAGTTAAATCAAAGGCTCTCAATGGCTTCCAATACTTTTTTTCCATTTACTGTAATTTTGTTTTGACGTCTCATGAGTTTCATAAAGGATCCCTTTGGCACTACTGCCCCCTGCTGGAGAAATGACAAAAGCATATCTTTCTCCAAAATAAAACAGCCTAATTTCTTAACGGGTTTTCACCTTGTTATAAATGGTTAACATATATCTGACTAACAAATTCTTTCTCATTCTTACTGCTGCTTTGATCTGTAATTTTAGACCAAAGAAATAGGAGCTATTTTCTGATCTGGGGGTCTGATGATAAGAGAGCAACTATGTGGCACAGACTGTAAAGCCCCCTCAGCTGAATGTATGAATTTGGGTTATGGAGGTAAAACTGACTACACTTTAGTTTTGTCTGTGTTGAGAGGAACCCCCTTAGGCTGTCTTACTCTTCCTGACAAAATATCTGAACTTTGTTTTCGATACTGGCTTATACATTGAGGTTGATTAAACAGGTTTATTTTCTAATTCAAATCTGTTTTATCCTTCTGCTCCAAAACATATAAGGCTAAAACTGCTTTAACTCTCACAAGCCTGTAATTTTTCAGCTTTATTTTTTCACAAAATTACCACTGAAATTGTTTTTTAAAATAATACAGTTTGTTTGGTGACAAGACTTTGAAAAAAGATTGTTCACTTCTGTTTATTTCTTCAGTATCTGAGAGTACAGGTGATGGTAGCTCATCTCACAGATGGTCATCAACAAACATGTAACAAGGCAATTTATTGTCATAGGTCCTCAGACAGATTCCCTGATATAAACTATATGAGCAGGTGCTCTTAAGCTCTTGCAAGGCACCTCAGGCTGCCAACAGTTGGGTCAAACATCATCTCATTGGTCGATGAGTTTGTTGGCACCAAGGCAAATATGTAATATGTGCAAAAGTCCTCAGCAGCAGAAGAAAAAGAAGCTCCCGCAAAATGAAAGCGAGCGATTGTGTGAAGAGGTCAGCAAGAGGTCACTACATATTTCCACCAGTTATGGATGCATAATAATCCATAAAAATATTTTTTGAATAATACACAATAAAATGTGACAAGTAACTTTTTTTTGTAGATCTGCCAAAGAGTGACACACCACATAAAACAGCACACACAAGAACATGGAGTCAAAGCAACACAAAAAAGAGGGGAAGGGGTTTAAGATCTTGTTTGTATGATCTTATAGAGGTTTACATTTTCTAACTTCACTCCAGTGTTTATTTGTGGAAACAGGAGAACAATAAAAGAGTTGGGAATGGCACGAAAGAGCATAAGTGCTAAATCACTTGAAATTGCTTCCAGAGACTGGACGCAGCAGGCCCACTTCTCCATGTTTGCATCGCGGAAAATTCTGTTCTGTTAAAGGTGCATTAAGAAGCGTTTTATAACATCAGTATTCATCACTTTCAAATTTTGATTTGGTGTTTTTTTTCTTATCCACCGTAGAATCTGTTAAAGCTTCAGCCATGTTTGTTCTGGGCAAACGGCGCCCCCTGCTTGTTTTGAGGCAGTTTTCCCCTCAACTGTAAAAATCAAGCTTCAAGACTACGAGACGGTTATTTGTGGTAATTACACTAACGTGTGAATATTAATCTCATGATGATTTATCGATGCTAAAAAGCTACAGCACCTATAAGACTGATGAACGACTCTTGAGGTGTGATGAGGTTTGGCATAGCCTGCATTCAGCATATAATAAAATCAAGTGAAAGAGAAGGTGATGCAGGTTTAAATAAATGAAGGAATGTGAAGGAGGAGACAAAGAGAAGAGGGTTAGGAAGCGAAGAAGGAAAGGTCAGTGTGTTGAAAGGCTTATCAGAGGTTCTGCTGGAGGAAGTGCAGCAGCGTAATCTCATAATGTTCTCCAGACTCTGGACATCGGATGCTGTGTCGCTCATTTGGATAAACCTGGAAAAATAGGAAACCACCGAAAAACATCTTCAGTCATTGTGGGAGCAGCTGGATACTTCAAATACTTCACATTTTATTCCACCTCACTTTTAATTCCAATCTGTTTTTTGTTTTTTTCATACAATACGATGCATGATGCTGGTGACTGGAGAAAAGCATCATGTGATTCTTTTCTTGTCTACAGGCAATTATCATTAAGTTTTTAGGCAACAACAATATCCAGGGTTGTAGATGTACTTTTCTTGACTGGTAGGAAACTATCATATCCAAACTTGGATCTTGGATTGAAACATTTGTAAAACCACTGAAGTTTTGACCTTAAAACGTTGCACCTTGCTCTCTGCCACTGTCCCAAACAAGAACAAGACCCAATATGACAAGTTATCTTTTAGATTTGTTGTTTCATACTCATCTCATCTAAAAAAGTTTTCACCCTTGCTTTAGTGAATGGAAGTAACCCATTCAGACATTTTGTTCACATCTATATCAGAGTCTACAACTAAAATCAGTGTATGTGAGTAAATCCTCCTACCTGCAGGTTGTATGGTTTCCCTGCCCGGATGAGCTGAGACACCAGAAAGTTGGTGTGGAAAAAGTGCACATTCTCATCTAGAAACCCGTGCAGGATCAGCAGTCTGTTGGGCCTGTATTCGATGGAAAGATAGAGGTCTTAGTTTCTCTGCTTCCATTCACATATAAACATGTAGAAGTGAATACAGCTAACACCAAGCCTGTCAGAATCAAATCGTACACTTCTACACTACACCTCCTGACGAACCACCATCTGCGCCAGACTGCAAAATCAACTACGTTGAGACCGGACGTGTTCGCTAACAGACGTGGATAATAGAAAGTACAGTATAATATTGCTTTTCTTTATCTTTTTCCTATTGCGGTGCTCATAGCTGTTCGGTAGACACAGTAACTGAACGGCAATGAATTGAAAGCATTAATATGAAAGTATGTATTTTAAAACATGACAGCTCTCACTCGTTTGGGAGTTTGTTGACATGCAGGGCGACAGAACAATCCTCGTATCCCTTCTGGTTTTTTTCAGGCGTGTCCAAATATCGCTCTGTGTAGCCGGTGTCATAGGCCATCCACAATGTCACCGGTGCTCCTGCAATGGCAACCTAAAACAAAACAAACTAAAACTGTTTTTTTTTGTTTTTTTTTTTAAGTTGTTTCTTTAAATATTCATTATCAATCATTTGAGCCTGTAACAGTAATTGATGCAAACAAATCTGACGACACGAAAAAACACTATGAAGATAAAAGTTTTTCAAAAAAAGCAATTTTCAATGAAGCTGAAACTGTCACTTAAGTAGCTGTTACTGTCTGACAGGTCTCCACAGGATTATCTCGTACATATATTTTCATGAACCAATCTGCCGTTAAAGGATCTGTAAACATGTTTTAAATCTCCATGTGAAGTCTCCTACTTGGCCACCAACTGTAAACTCACTATTAACAGAGTAAATGTTCATGATTTTTACCTTGAAGATGTCAGGTTTATGGACCAGGCCCATGAGGGAGAGGAAGCCTCCATACGACCAGCCATGGATGGCAACACGACTCAGGTCCACAAACTTGTACTTTTCAGCTACATAGTGCAAACCTTCCACCTGGTCTTCAATCTCCACCTGACCCTGGTTGAAAAAGGAGGTAAAAGCAGAGGTCGCTCACTCGAAAACAATGTTTAAAAATGCTAAAACTCAAACTCAAACACAAATTCGATGAAAGTATTAAAAAAAATTGAGTCACTATACCATATATGTTCCCACAAGTTATTAAATTTCCATTTATCATGCAGTTATTGAATAACAGAAGGGGCGGGCTGCTCTCTCTTCATCACTATACAGTTCCTCTGATAGACAGACGGATGCTTGAGTAAATTAAATACCATTTTGTCCTTCACAGCTCCTTCAAACTGGAGTCCTCGCTGACAGGATCCCCGCCCATCGATGACCAGCACAGCGTAGCCCAGAGAAGCCAGAGTGCTCAACCGCAGGTACTTCACTCCTTTATAAGAGTTATTCACTAACTGCACCTGGAGGAAAAAAATCAAGCATGTTTACAGTGATGTAAGTTGTTAAAAACTGAGCCCCTTCCATCACCCACTTCAGTCACAGCAACTTTGACAACGATGGCATCAAGGCATCAGACACAGTCATATCTTTTATTGAATTTACTTAAGCACCAAAATATACTGGAAGTACCAAAAGTACAAGTGATCATTTCAGAATAATAAATACTATATTATTGGATTATAATTATTTTATGTTTACTTATGTAGCAGCTGTTAGAGGTGGGGCTACATGTAATTTCTTTACATACTGCTCAGTAGCTTGTCAGTTTTATTTGTGGATTATATTTTGTAGTATTAATCTGAATCTGCAAAGTAACTTAAAAGTTCTCAAAATGAAGTTTTTCAAATACTTAAATGTATATTTTACTGTGCAATGTAGTGGAGTACTAACGTACAGTAGTTGAGAAAATGTAATTAACTACTTTTCACCACTGACTCTACAGCAATCACAGATTTTACAAAACAGGGCAGTTACAGACAAATGTGGTAGAAATCTTTTTTTAACAATGAAAGTAATTATTTGTATGTCTTCACTAGGCAAGACAGTTAACAAGCAGCAGCTAGACCAAGTGGAGATTAAAGATTCAGATTAATTGTTATGCAGTGTTGAACAGCTGTTGTAAAATAAGTGATAAACCATCACCAAAACCATGTTATCTGAAGTTAATTCTGCTTCAGTTGACAGAAGTTCACAAAAAAGGCAAATTCCTTATTGTTCTACAGCTTCTAAGGCGACACAACATCAATCTGATTTTAAAGTGGGAGAGATCAAACCTGCGGACCGCCGTAAACAAAGATGACAGTGGGATGCTTCCTGCCGGGGACCAGGTTGTACGGTTTGTACAACATGCCGTACAGCTCAAAGCCTGACTTCCCTGTGAAGCTGAAGATCTCTGGAGGAGTGTAGTCAAATGGGAAACCTGGAAACAAACAGCGGACACAAGAAACACAAGAAAAGAATTTCTTAAGAAAATCTCACAGCTGCCAGACGACAATTCATCTGTCATAAACAAACTGTCCAGTACCAGCAGGCTCCATCATGCTCGCCCAGAACTGCGGCTCTTTGTGTAGCGGGTCGCTGTCTGAGCCAATCAGCTTGAAGATGTGCACACAGGGTGCGGCGGTCAAGCTACTGTAATGGCTGATAAACATGTCAAAGGTCTGTGTGGAAGAAAAGAAAATTTTATAATTATATTTACATATTTAAAGACACTAAAATTTAATAAAATAAAATTGTCATGTACAGGAATGAAGCAGTCTCCGAAACAGTATTTGCACTGCAAGGAAACACTTGAATACAAATGAAATTAGCACGTTTTTATGTCAGTTATCTTTGGTTTTCCAGACAGTGTTGCAGCAGCTGTCAGACAGGAGCTTCCATCACATCAGTGGTGAATGACACCGACTGATATGTGATGATTAACAGCTCCAATACAGCTTCAATACAAGTGATGTATCTGTAAAATCCTGATTTCAAGCTCCACAAAAGCATAAAATATGCTACTGCTGCTAAATACAACAATTTAATGCTGCAACTTTTGGAAACAAGCTAACTCTGGCCAGCATCACTTACAATTAATCTGACATTAAAAAACATTTGTACTCTGTAGATTTGCACAGTTTTATTTTAGCTCAAAATTTAAGAGTTGTACTTGTAAGAGTGTGAGTTTCGATACCTGGCTCACTGAGCAGCTGTGGGAGAATCCCGGTTTGGTGAGTCGGACGATTTCACCCGGTGAGTCGTAGCTCACCACATAAAGATGATGCTCCAGAGGAGAGTCTTTGGTTCCCTGGAAGTAAACCAGCTTTGCCGTCTCATCCACCCAAATCTGAGGACTGGACGAACGCTACACCAAACACCACAGGGCGAGAAAAACTGTTGGTACGTTTTGTTAGTACAAAGACGAGAGAAAAATAAAGTCCTAATGCAAGAATGTTTTCATATTCTGGTCCTAAAAGGTTTGTTCATACGAGCGCACCAAGTCAGATTCACCAAACTCTCTTTACTGCACAAACTTTTTGTTAATCGCTCCTTTCAGACTGATGACTAACTGATGACTGATGTGTTGTCCCTCTGTGAAGAAAGGAAGTCTATATGTTCATGACTCATACGCTCTGGACCACTCGTGAATTTTTTTCGTACCTAAGAGAAACATCTGTCCGAGAACATTTGGTGAATGCCACAAATTCTCTTGTACGTGCCACTTAAGAACAAATCTGCATGACGGTTTCTTGTATGAGGCCCACTGTTTTATTTTTAACTTAGTTTGTTTATTTATTTTAGTCTCACTGTTCATCCTGTCTAATTTCATGTCTACTTTTCTTGATCGGTTGTAAAAGAATGTGTTTTTAAGCACTATTTGAAAAAGCACTATTAACATACCATGATTACAAAATCCTTTTATATAGTACTAAAAACAAGTTCAGCGCAGCTTGTTTTAATGAAAATATTTAAATCATAGTCTACAGCACTGGACCAGTGACACAGTAAAATGCTTTACCTTTGCTCCATGATTTGCCAGCACCTCCCACTCCCCACTGGTTATCGTCACCTCCTCTTTGACCGGACACTTGAAATCATCTGAAAATAGAGGAGCAAAGATGTAAGTGGATCAACTGAAAGACCAGTCAGCTTTGGTAACTCTATAAGTCCGCCTAGTTAACATTCACAAGCAGTATATAAACATACATAAATAGTTTATACCACAAGATAATGTAGTTGTAATCATAAAATTTAAATATATCTTCCTAGTGGAAGATTTACTGACAAATACTATTAATAAAATACCTTACAACTACATTATGGAGTGTTATAAACATTTTAAACAATTTTTAAAATATCTTTGTGGCACAACATGAATATAATAAATCAAAACTGAAACTCTGATATTACAATGTTAAACTTAAACTGAACATAAAAATTAAATCGTCAAGCAAAAAAAAAAGGGAACAAAAAATGCCACTGTACAAACAGAATTGTCGATTAAATGTCGGAAAACAAAATGGTTTGATGGTGAGGTTGAGTTACAGGGTTTATATATTTTATTTCATCTTTTTATTTGTTGTATACATCTCAACAATGAATCTGTGACACGCGCCTGTGTTCTCCACAGTGTTACCTTCAGAGTGTGTGTAGCCTTTGGCCCAGTGATAGCTGCCCCGCTGTAACACTGAGGTGATCTTATACAGGTGGCAGAAGCCTGTTTTAGACTCATTTACTGTGATGAAGCTGATCTCATCATCACTGGTTTGGGTGAAAGGATGGAAGATATCATGCACCTGTAGGACAAACACACAGTAATTTTGGTTTTTTTTTCTTTTTTTCACTGCACTAGACAAAAATCTTTTTGCATAAATTGTAAGCAGAAAAGTTTCCACAGCTAATGACTGATACACAACATTACAGCTGCTCAAATTTGTTTGTGTGGGAATAGATGAAAAGATCTAATTTGAGTCAGACATGAGGGGAAAACTAAACTGGGAAACCTTTAAGATTCAATGTTAACAGATCTAGAGACAGATGTGGTGTTAAGTCTCACATTGATCCAGATGTCGCTGGTCTCTTGGTAGATGATGAAGGGCTGGACTGTGTCTCCGAGGGCCTCCAGACTCTCTTGTCTGCTGGTCTCATCCTGATTTGCTGGGATAAAGAGCTCTGGAGGAAGCAGGACCAACTGGAGACGCTGCTGTCGCCTTTCCATCATGACCGCCCACGCACTGACACGCACAGAGACGAACGGAAACGTGTTACCAGGTTTTGGAGTTTCAGAAGCTTGGTGAAGTTTAAAGGCAACGAGATGTGCTTCTATAACGATAGACTGAATGATCTGTTCTTTTCAACCTCTTAGGGAAGAAACTTACTATCGGCCATCCTTTGTCCAACCAGCTCTGGTGATGTATTCAGCACATGGGAACAGGCTGGTGAAGGGAACAGGCAGCTCCTTTTCCTGTGTGCTGACAATCTGAGGGAGAAAAAACACCAAGCTGACTACAGCGGTTCGACGGTTTGTTCACTGTGGCGGGATAAATGCATCATCACATATTGGGATATTTTGTGGATGAGCACTCACTTTGCCGGCATCATCTGTCCTGATTTCTGCTATTTTGAGAGTAATATCTGGATTCTTGCTGCCTGGAAATAAATAAAACTGAGTTACGTATCAAAATATGAACAAGAATTGTCAAACACTATTAACGTAAACACAAGTTAGTTAGTTAAGTATTATTGTTTACTGACACAAGAAAAAAACACACGCGCACACATATAATATATATATATATATAGCTGCAACTTATAGTTATTTTCATTCAAGATGAATCCACAGATTATTTTTCTTGATGAATCGATTAATCAGAAAATTGTTGCAGCTCTATATACATATGTATGGTTTTAATTAAACATGTCTGCTCTTTGAAACATAATACACACATCTCACAGACAAAACCATGAAGCTCTAGGTGTATCACATATAAATACATCACAAATACAGTTTTCAGTGCCTGCCTACCTGCACGTGGATATCTGTAGACATCTGTTTTACGCTCCTCCAGAGCCGGAGACGGGACATGGATGATCTCAACCTCAGACTCGTCCACCTCCTCGTATAAAATCTGTAAAGTCTTACCACCATCTGATTCTGAGCCAGAGAGACAACCAGTAAAGCATGCAGGTGTTATTTTGAAATCTTTGTCTTTGGGAAAAAAACTGCACAGGCAAAGTTAAGACCCCATTTGTGTTTGTTTCCAAAACATTTTGTACACTACGATTCTGCTTGATGCCTTGCTCTTAAGTCAACAATGTATAACTCACCTTCTCGAGCAGCTGGTGACCACCAGTATCCAGTGAAGCGGTCAAACTCCTCCTGTGTGACAAAAGTGGCTACACCAGCAGATTTGGGGTCCTCTTTTGGGTTATCAATGCCTAAAATGAAAACACAGATACATTTAAAAAGAAAATTCAGAGTTCCAGGTAAGACTGAGTCTGCGAACCGCCAACAAGTCTGTGAACACGTTTCATTCCTGACCTTTGTGGCAGAAGGTGAGCCTCCTCTCTTCACCCGTCTCGATGCTGGTCACCCAAATGTCATTGTTATTGATGAAGCCGATAAAGTTGGGGTCCCCCGGGCAGATCTTGGGGTCCATGCGTGTGCCTGAACTCTGGCTCTTGATCTCTACAGGATTCATGGGAGAAGTCTGCAACGAATGCACAAATGGACAAAGAAGAACCTGGTCACAGCTGCTGTAGTTCAACACTTCATTATCACTGATCAAAGACATAAAAAAGACATCAATCTATTCATTTTCTATTCTAGAAGATGATCAAGTCTGGACTTTTGAGGCTGATATGGATGTTTCAGAGTTTAAAAGAATCTTGTGAAAACTAAATGTTTTCTAACATGATGATGATGTACGTAACGATTCAACATAATGATGAGTGATCCTCTATTCATTGAAAATTATAATGATATTTAACAGTCAACCAATAATGAAAGTATTGATAAAGACATTTTGCAGATGAAAAATAAACTTATCAGTGCTCTCTGGTGGACAACCTGCTACTGTAGTAATGAAACAGGGTTTTCTAAATTATCTCTGGCAGACAATATACAAACTGATCTATCTGTATCAAGCTAATATGGACTGATAATAAACAGGTATAAGACAAAGCCATGCTGATACATTCGCATGGTTCTAGGCTATCCCGCCTTATCCTGTGCAGGGTCATGGGGGCTGGAAATAAGTTCAGAGTACAATGGATCAGAGCACGAGTGCAGCCAAATTTTTATCTTAACTATAAGTATTTATACCCTTACAGTGGAACTAAATAGAGGCCCAAATGTGACTTTAAAAAGACAGAAATCTCCCCCTCTGGCTGGGAATTGTTGAAGCACTGGCCTAATCAGCAAACCTATCAAAACCTGCAGATCTGTAATAATCATTCTGTGACTGCCTTATTCAACTTTCCTTTAACTCACAATGAAGCTGCTGTTTCCACCGTCACGGCAGTAGTACAGACTGCTGTTGGCCTGGAACAGGAAGAGGCCACTGGGTCGGTGGTAGTCATAGGAAGTTATGCCAGACACCCCCAAACGCTTCCTCTCTCGCAGTAGCTCCTCCTCCCGGGAGAAGCCCCCGTGGTGTGGGCTGGCCTGAGGTCATGGGTGACAGGAGGACACACAACGTGACAATTCTGGCCGAGCGAGGTCAAGGTCAAAGACAGTTTGTTCAGGGCATGGAAAACAAACAAACGGTGAGAAAACATTATCATACTAAATTAAAAAGAGAGAAAAGCCAAATATTAACAAACAGAACCACTTATCTCCTCCTAAGAACTTCTGTTTATGAAATCAGTACAGCCCAGTATAACAGCTGGATAGCAACAAACATCAATCCCAATATTATCAATATTTTGTCTTTAAGGGGACATTTGCAACAGTAGCTTTAAGCTCCATGGAGAAAGACGCCATTATGAGGAAAAGGTTCACAATCACTCTCTAAACAATTAAATATCTAGTGGGAATAGGATCTGAGTGGAGAAAGAGGACTAATATTCCTCCTCACCTGAAAGCGATCCAGCAGCTGTTTCCATGACAAAACCAGCAGGGCATCTTTGCGGACCTTCTTGGGAATGTCTGAGTAGAGTAATGCGTTGTCCCTGCTGGCGTAAGGCATTCCTGTAAGAACAGAAAGAGAAAAAAAAGATTCTGTGATCCCAAGTAAAGTTGACCTGTCGTGTTGTAGATGAACTTAGGTTCAACTACAGAAGACTTAAAATATGCTTGCCTTGATTATAAAATATAGTAGGGAAGAATTTGATTAATGACCAGCTGCATGTAAAGTGAACCTCAGGCTCAACCTGTCTGGTGGCTGTTTTGCATTTTGGCATACGTTTGGCAATGGTGCATCTGAAAACTGGTTCTGGTTTTGCTTTTGCTTTGATGGTTGAACCCTGCAGCTTTCAGAAAAAGCCATTAACTTTTTCATTCTAATTCTTGACGAAACTGCTTACCATAGCTGTTTTACACAGCAGAAACATTTTCTGCTATAAAACATTACACTACTGTAACTGTGCAGTCCACAGGAGTAAGAAAAATACACCCATTAATAAGTCATTTTTAAAAGTATTAACGTGGTTTGCATTGGATTTTCCCATTATATCTCAAGCTGGTGTAGTTATATTTGAGAATCAACAAATCGACAACAAATAAGCAGAGTATTTGGGGGAAAAGCTTTAAAGACTAAACTTTTGCTTTAGAAATTGCAGGATGATAGTAGATGTTTAAACATAGTATAACTATACTCAAGTAGAGAAGAGTCATGAAAAGTAAGTGAATTTAGTAATGTCACTTATCTAAAGTTTGCCTACATTCGCCACCACATGTAACGGTTACACCAGACCAAGTGAAGCTGAAGCAGCAAAATCCATGAGTGTGTTGATCTGAACCAGTGTTTTATTATTTGATATGAATTCAACTTTTGATCTACAAAAAGAAAATTGTGTTACTACTTGTTTTCCAAAGGTTACATGGTATCCGTTTGAAGGCTACAACTGCAGCAAAGTCTAAAAAATAAATTTAAACCAGCAACCACCAACAATTGGCCTGACTGCTTAGTGCTTGTATAGTGAACAAGCGAGCTACCATGACTACAGATTTTACAGGCTCTATGTAGTGCACATTACAAAACTTGCCATAGCTCAGGAGATAATATCACACACTGCTTGAGATATGATAGGAAAATAACTGGAACCATTTTCCAAAAATTCTGTGCACTACAGCTTCACCAGAAACAAGCAGAAATACGTCCACGAAGCAACATGAGTTTAGCTGAGTTTCATTTCTTCCTCCAGCACACATTGACTCAAGTCACTGCAGATCTTTGGATTTCAAATGAGCTTGAAAACAGTTCCAGGCTGACAACTCTGACTCACCAGCTGTATCCACAGATTATTCACAGAGGCATGCTAACTTTCAAACTGGCTGAAAAGAATCATCTGAATCTGTGGGTCAACAAGTCAACGCCCGCTAAAAGTATTTAATCTCTGCTCTTTGTTTGACCTTTACTGTAGAAAAGTGGGATTATTTGTCTGAAAATGAATATATTTCAACAACTGTGACAGATCCCTGGTTTCAGTTCCCCCAGCTCACCGAGGTAATAGATGCGGTGAGAGTGCGGGCTGGCCTCGTCCTTCTGCATGAACTGGAAGTCATGCGGCGCCTTGTTGATGACCACGCCGGTGTTCTTGCGGCTGTTGTGGATGATTTTCCGCAGGCCATCCCATGTATGCTTCTCCACCTGGAACTCGGTGGCATTCACATCCTCCATCTCCACCACCTCCGTGCTGTCCGAGAGCTCGTCCACCCCCGTCATACCTGCCAGTGCTTCTCTGTCCCTGCGGACAGCCTCAGACTGATCAGTTCATCAGACAGGTATATTTCCGACGTGACGAATGCAGGTGTATTTTTGACTGAAGATGGCATAAAAATACTTTGCACTTCAAACAAGCAAAAGTTTACTTTCAAGTTACATTCAACATACAGGTTTACATTGAATGTTTCACACCAAAACGCACTGTATCCTTGAGGATTAATACATTTGTATGGGACACATTTATTTTCCCATAAAACATTTTCAAAGCCACTTTTATGAATATTATAATATATTTTACAACCATGATTGCTCACAAGCAGTCTTCTTCTTTTTGGCTTTGTTGACACATTAATAAATGTCTCTGAGCATTGAACAAGTGTGAAACTGGTGACAAGCATTCGTGGCCCATGCTGCACCATACCGGTAGGTACTAGTGGTAAAAAACTCCAAAGACATTTCAGCTGACAACGGATTGATTGATGTTAATCTGATCATCAAATCTAGTTGTCTGGTAAAGTAGTTAACATCTTGAGAGAAATGTATGTGAAAATGTATGATTTTTTTGACAGTTCATCAGTTCTTTCTTAGGTAGTTGTCTATTTTCTGTACTTTTCAAAAAGCTAATAAAATCTTATTACACTGATACATTTTCTAATCACTGAAAGTTAAAAGGGACAACAGTGTCAAATAACAACTTCTGGCCTTCAGAGTATAATCTAAAATACAGAATTTATCTTTTAAGGCAGCAAAAGAAATAAAAACATTTCAGTTCAAATCTTTCATTTATAAAAATGAATGAAAATAAAAACTGAATGAATGTGGGTCAGGCAACTGTGAGTGAAAAAGTTTCCATACCTTTCCTGGCCGTCTTCTGATTGGTCTTCGATTTTCAGCCTCTTTACTTTGTGCATTAACCGTTCAACAACCCTGGACCAGACCTGACACCCTGTGGAAAACCAAGTAACGACATGACAGTTAAAGATGTGAGAGTTTTGTTTCAAGGTAACAGAAATGACAGACCTTTACATCACAGCACCTGGTCTAACTGACCTGAATAACCTTAACCTTAAACCTGAATAAGTAAAAAACTAGATCTTGCCCTACGCTAAGCTCACATGCGATCAACAGTGAAACTGTTACTGAGGTGACGGCCCCATTCAGGGCCGACATGTCTTTGCTGCTTCATCGTGGAGCTGCTGTTCTTTAGCTGACCACCGCCACACTTCCAGCTGTGTGTTCCTGGTATGAAATCTCACGGTCTGTGTGACTCAGCTGCATGACTCCAACACTTCAACGTCTGTGTCATAACTGTGGCAAATGTTACACTGTTACTCCACATTTTAGTGGAGACTGTATACTGTAGGCTGTGCAGGTGGCTGTTTTGTTGCCTGGGGCCTAAATGAACTGCAAATTCTACAGAAGTTAATTCCCAGAAAACACTTCAGCAGCCCTTTTGACCAAATCATGACCCATGTCAGGTCTGCCAGAAGAACAAATGTCATAGTTGAGATTTGACATGATTTGATTCAGTCATTCTTCCCCATATATGACCATCAGTAATCACATGACTGAAGTTCCTGATCATAAGATCTGCCAATGAAGATGTGAGATGGAGTCAAAAGCTCTATAAAAACCTATTCAGTGAACCATGAGTTAAGATTTTTTTAAAATCCTAATCCATATGAAGTATCCTAGAACTACTAGGAATGTTCTTTATACTTGCATGGCTAAAAATGCATTGGTTTGCCACCACTTTATATTGTGTATTTCTGCATTGAAATGGCACTATAACTTTCTTAATCTATCCCATTTTATTTCCATTATTTAAGACTATTATAGTCTTAAAAATGATAAATGATTCAGTGTTGTATGAAAAGCATTTTGAACAATCTTTGCATTTCAACGAATGATACAAATATACCTGTGAGCAAGAAACATTACCATGTTGTTAGCTTTTATCTTGGGTCTAGTTATGCACCATGTGGTCACTGATCAACTTAAAGAATTTATGACATTATTCATCTGAAAATATCTGCTAGCGGGAACAGTCTAATTCTAATTCAGCTTTAAATCACTGTAAATCAAGTCCTGATATATTCTCCCACAGTCTGTACGCAACAACTGTAGAAGAATCTTTATTTTCTGTTTCTGTTCCAACATAACCTGCAGGCTTTTGGCACACAATTGAACACAACTGATTTGGGTATAAATTTAAAAATGGGTATGTATTACTGTCGATACTGACTACAAGCCTTACTTAATTTTTCAACACAAACTCATCAGTGGTGGGGTAAGTATTCAGATCCTTTACCCAAGTAAAACACACTGTAAAAATACTCTATTATAAGTAAAGATCCTATATTCAAAATGTAATTTAAGTATAAGCAGCTAAATGTACTTGAGTATTTAAGTAAAACTAAGTGCAGAATAATGGCCCCTGCGACTGATATAGTACCACATAAAACATCTTTCGACTATTAAAATTAATTAAACGATTAGTTCATTATAAAAAATAGTCGCCCTTTTTTCTGTTGATATTTTATAAGCATTTCATATGCTTTGTATCCAATAATCTCATTTTTCATTTTTTTTAAGTAACTAATGCTGTCAAATAAATGTAGTGAAGTAGAGGTATTAAGTAACATGAAAAGAAAATACTCCATAACTCATTGTGGCATTTTCGACACAGGTTTTCACAATCATGTCTGTGTCGCCGTCCTGTTAGTTTGTACGCATCTCATGTTCTTTAATATGTAAAAATACGTTTTGTGTGTGAAATAGTTGCACTATTATTTCTGTTTTGACACATCAGCTGATGAAGCTCGAGGGTCCACCGACTGACCGACAGCTTCAGTCCAGACAGAAAACATCTGGCTGAAAGTGTCCTGTCCCTGAAACCTGACGAACACTAAATAAACAACTTTAAATGAAAACCCAGGGTCACTTCACTTTCCTTTTGATGCTACCAGCTTAGCCGCCCGACTCGTTAGCTAACGTACCAAAACGGCACTTATACACAGAAAACAACTCAAAACAGCAAAACACTCATTCACTTTCAGCTTACACTCTGCCAAAGACCTTGGGAGACTTTATCCTTGTGTTGAAGAAACGCCTGTGTTGATATCAGCAGTAAGGGTCTGAATAGATTACAGAAGTCAACTATTTTCAAAGAGAGCAGGTAGTTAGCTTGATGCTAATATGCTAACAACGAGGAAATGGCTTGTAGAATCAAACGTTACAAGATTACAACCTTTACCCCGGATATGATCCATCAAGGCTGGATCTGCGTACTACACGTATTTACCAGATTTTATTTCTTTTAACTCGATTTTTTCAATTTTCAGTCTATAGCCGAAATAACCCTGCTGCTATGTTGTGAAACAATCAAGTCTCATTAAGGAAATAAATTCTGAAATATCTCCTTTTTCTTTAAAGTTCTTAAAATCAGCTGAACACTGGTGGGATTTCAGTTCCATCCCAGTAAAGGTACCAGTGACTCCTCTCCTTGCTTTAGAGCTGCAACTAATGATTATTTTCATTATCGATTAATCCAACGATTATCCGCTTAATTAAGCAATAAGTCATTTTAGTCTATGAAATATAAAAAATCGTTAAAAAATCTTTTCCATGGCTGTTTTATGAGCCCGGTATGACACCTACTAAGGTCTCATTTTGTCTGATCAAAGTTTTGTTTTACAATTTTCTAAAACAGAAAAAACTAGCAAACCCTCATATTGGAGATGCTGTAACCTGTGAAATATTTTCATTATTAATTAATTTAATTATTTTGTTGATTAATCATTTAGTTTATAAAATATCTGAAAATATTTAAAACCCAGCCGTTTCTTGGACTCATAGTTGAGTTGTAATTTTTGTCTGACCAACAGTCAACTAAAAGATCTTGTTTACAAAGATTAAAAAAAACAGAAAAATAGCAGAAAATATTTAACCCCACTCAAATATTTGCTTGAAAAATAACTTAAATTAATTGATAATAAAAATTGTTGCTGATTAATTTTCCAGCCATCAACTAGTTGTTTCAGCCCTACTTTGCAGGGCTTCCACCAAAACACCAGAAGCAAATACACTCCACATCCATGAGAAGCATTGTATCGTTAAAACATTTATTTTTGTAATAATTTGTCCTTTTTTTCTTTTTGCATAAGTGCAAAAAATGCACCCAAAACAGCCACCTGAGGGAAGTCTACATCTTTAAATAAAAAAACAAGCAAAGTGTACATTTATAGTACAAAATTCTCTTTTTAAAAAATTGCACAGTTTGTGTATAATATATATATTCATAATCTCCATTTTAAACAAACTTTAAAGGCTCAGAAAGTAAACAAAATTCACCAAATGAAAAATAAAAACATTTTTTCCCTAGAATTTAAAGCTGAGGAAACTTGAGACCCTGTTTTCATTTGTGTCCACCATAAATATACATATTTATATGCAAGTCTCTTTACATATAGTCTCTGTGCTAGTGTTTGACCAGACAATCAAAATTATTGCAAAGTAGTTTAGTTCTACTATAAAACATGGGGTAGGAGGTGGGGGATAAAAGCTTCTTTCTGCTGAATGTTCCTTAAGTTAGGCAAAAAAAAAACCTGGGTTTCAATACACCCTTTTTGAATTTACTGGAATCCCTGCTTTCACAAAGGTTTCTGTTTCACAAACTGTGTGCATTCAACATTCCCATAGAACGATCCAGAACTCCAGTTTTGCTTTTTAGCGAAAACAAACATTTCCCTGACTTCTTTTTTTGTTTTTGTTTTTCAATTTTACACAGCTGCCATGGCCAGAGGTGGTGGTCAGCGTCGATACGGGTGGAAGCCCTGTACGTTGTGGTTCTGCCCTCTGCCGAATGCGCTGGCGGCAGGCTGGGGGGCAGCGGTGGGCTGTGCTGTCGGTGCCCCGTATGAAGCTGTCGGCTGGGTGGGGTCTGCGAAGCTGTGGCCGAAGGCTGTCAGGTCCTGGCCGTACCCTGAGGTGGACAACACACAACAGTGGAAAGAAGAGGGTGTTAATGTCCACGTCACCAGACGGAGTTTAGGGACAAGCCTTGCTCCTTTAAAAGTATTGATTATGTAAAGTGTCTTCTGTAAAGTTCTCACAATTTTGATGTTGAGGAAAAATCCACCACTTACCCTCACACTGTTACATTTACTGGTACATGTCTGATGTAAAGTATATTCTAATTGTTATTTTTAGGTGAAGTGTTGTAGCTTCTGAAAAGTACTGGGATATGACATTGCATCATACATTATTGTTAATATCACAATGCCTTCTTATTTCAATTTTACAATTCCGTCCCTGCATCTACATAATACTACGACCAAAACAATAAGTTGGAGAATCAATTAGTCAATGGACAGAAAATGAATTGTTAGTATAATAATGATTGATCATTTATTTTTAAATTATCAAACACAAACAGAAACCATCTGCTGTGAAGATTTGCTGCCTTTCTGTTTTATGTCCTTGTAAAGTGAGTAAAATTCTGTTGGGGAACAGAAATTGCAATTTGAAAACTTCACCTTGCGCTCTGAGAACTTGCCATGAACTACTTTTCATTATTTTATTTAGATTTTTGAAGTCTAATCATTTCATCTTGAAGAATAATCATCAGATTAATTGATAGTCAATATAATTTAGTTGCAGCCATACATAATATCTCCAATACCTCACATTTTCTTGTTTTTTTTTTGTTTTTTTTTAACAGTTTTTCCTTCTGTGCAAAGAGACTTTAAGGCTGCAGTTGTATCCTCAAACAGCTTTAAGATACGATTAATTTATGTTCATAAATGACCTCGAATTTGAGAAAAGGTAATACACAAAACAACAAAATGGCCCAAGAAATGTTAAGTGCATTACTAACAGTGTTGAAAGGCTTTGTGGTGGATTTTTCCACTAGATTCAAATACTGTATTCCATCAATGACCCTTCAGTGTTGTAACAGTACTATACTGTAAAAGTACAAAGACAAAAATGTCAATTTCATTTCAATTTAAAAAGTAGTTTAAGTTGATTTCATTGAGGAAAACATGTCTAGATTCTCTTAAATGATGTTCTTCTATTTAGACACTGGATGGCACCATCTCCTTGCAAATGGACAAGGGACACCCAGGGAAGGAAACTAATCCATCCGGAAAAGTGGCTAGTGTATTCCAAAATTCAGCAGGCACTATCCAAGCCAAATGGACTTCTAGGTTTAAAAAAAAAAAAAGACTGATTTGTTAGCTACCAAATGGCTGGTAGAATACAAAAACTAGATGCAGCCGAATCTTTCCAGCATCTTACTGATGAGTGGTTATTTCCCTGCCCTGGTAACATCCAATTAGTACTAGACTCTTAAGGCTGGAAACCAATACATACTGGAGCAGATAGAAGTTATAAATAACTGGAATGGAAAGACAAGAGAGAGAAAAGGATAGAAAAAAGGGAGAACTTTTGAAAATGAAACATTTCTTTTGGTGTGCTCCAAGAATGAAAGACAAATAGGAACTCTGTAGAACAGGGAGCAGTCCCAACAGGACCATCAGACAGAAGAATCAGAGAAATTGGAAATTTACTGGCACCGTGTCCTTCTTTATATCTTCTTTCCTTTCTCACCCCTTTAGCTACAATGTGGAGACAGTACATGGGGAAAAAACAACGGGTGAATGGACTGCTGATGCATAGAGACAACTGAACCATGAACAAATTTTCTGACAATTAGATCATCCTTTTATAATCAGCAAAGCAATGCGGACAGAGAGAGGGAACAAAAAAGGAGGACATGGTCAGTCTTGGTATAGTAAAGCTACAGCCGCTGAGGGAGATGACATGTCAGAGCTCAAAATGCTAAATTTCTATGTAAATTTCTTTCAAATCCACTCAGCAAAGACATTGTCACAGGCTGCCTTTTACTATACAAGAGTACACACGGTAATTTGTATGTACATGCAAAATGTACATGCAAAATACTACACACAGAGCAAAAGAAAAGAGGCAGAACCAGGTTGCAGCTCTATAAACACTACAGTACTGAACAAATGCTACTTTTGTGGTTGGAGAAGACGATGCTGGCACCTACCTGCACTATATCCTCCCTGTTCATCCTGACCATAACTGTGAGAAGGACGCGTTGGTCCGTAGGCAGAGGGGTCCTGAGGGTAGTTACCCAAGCCTATCAGGGAGATGAGGAGACCAGGTTGACTGAACCCAGATACTGCTGGCCGACTACTTTACATACTTTCCCCCTTACTGAGCTATCAGAGCTTTACATTTATACTCATTTACTGGGTCTGCGCTACGCTTGGTGAGGCGTCACTGCTTAGCTTCATCTTGAAGTCAAAACAAAATTGAATGTGAGTGTGTGAGCTATCTGCTAGCACGCCTGACTTCTTATCATGCCAGCCTGGTCTCAGGAAATTTTGTGAAATGTGCATTGTATGCTAAGATGCAAGTAACATGTGAGAAATATGTTTTCCCACCAAGAAAATATTATGAGAAGAGGGCAACTACAAACAGGAACAAGAAAACCCACACCAGCAGTTCTGCATGTCGTAGGGCATAAAATATTACTTGTATACACAGCAGAAATTTTCCAAAGCATACCATACGTTTCTAGATTAATTTCATATCTTCCAACCTGCCGCTGGTTTCCATTCATCTCAGCACGCTGTGACATTCAACATGAAATTGACTCGAAACTTGTTTCAGACAGGCAATGTGCCAGATTTATCTTTGTGTCCTTTCATTTGTTTGGGTTATTTGGGAAACCCCAGCTCTGAGTAGCATGACGTAAAAACGAGTGCAGAGATTCTTTATTGGGCATTAAACGGCATTTCAACATCCAAAAGTTGCCAAAAAGCACTCCATTGGTGAGCTAGATTGTTGAGAAAAATTTAATCCATAAAACAAACATGGACATCACTCAAGGGACAATGTGGAGCTTCTTGCATTAACCAAGGCTGCTGCTTAGTAGTAATTTCTCAAATTTCAGATATTGGAGTGTTCTTAGATGCAGTTTTGAGACAAAAGTCAACAAAAGGTTTATTGTGTTGAATAACCCATAATTTAAGTTTCAAGTTTCACAGTGTACTGTAATAAAAGTGAAGTCAGTGCCCACCTGATGGGCAGATGGGAATAATTAAAATATATATGGTATGCACTAGAAAATGGTTGGCATTAATTAAATATTAATGAATTTACATGCAAAACCACTGGTTTGATCCTTTATTTGACTGCCTAACTCCACACAACCCAAACTTAACCAAACCAAACTTACTTAATTTGCCTAACCTCCACCATTTACTAATTTTACACAATGAAAATGTCATATCCAGTGCCTGCTATTGTCATATATAAGTATTCATGGCAAAGGCATGTGATTTGTCTCCACAATACCAACATCATCAGCATTTCTGATTTTCTGCTCATTTCACAAAAACTTGTGACTGTCTTGTCATTACTGGCTTTTAATACTGGACTAAATGCCTGAACAGGCGGCGGACACTAAATGCAGAAAGCTGGATGAAAGATAAGCACAAGCAGGAAACACTGAACAAGATGGGCACCTGTCATGATTGACAGCGATCATATGACTGCTTAAAAAACGTAGATCCAGCAGTGTGAAGCAGCTGTAAGCCAAGTCAGACAAAAAATACCAGCCAGCCACAAAACTGGGTGTAGACTCTGAATGAATATCTGCTACTTGTCTGACTGTGTGCTTATGTCACTGAATGGGTGAATGTTCAATGAAGACGAAGCTCGTCCCTTTTCCCTGGATGCTGGTTAGTTTTCACAGTATCTCTGTCTTTGTTTTGGTTCAAAACCTCCAGCCTCCAGTCGTGCTCTCAGCATGATCTCAGACTCTTAATCCTGCATGAGCATACAGTACGTCACTGGAAAAGCTACCCCTCTAACAGTTTGAATCATAGACGTTAATAATCATTTTCCATATTTAAACTGGAGTGGCTTGATGAAATGTCTCATTTTCAAGTCCCTACATGCTGACTGAAATTTGGCAAAGTTTTGAACAGCTCAGTGAGGATCCAGGAGAAATAATTATCCGGCCTAACACGGTCTTATGGTAATATTATACTAGAGTAACAGTCCAGTTCAAACCACAAAGACACCCACCAGAAAGTAATTCCTACAGACACATCAGTTAAAAAAAGACTTGCCCAGGACTCTATTAACTGCAGGGCAGGGGGGAAATGCTCATATTTTGCAGACAAGCATGCAAAGCTCCAGTGTGATAAACATGATGGACATGTTGAAAATTTTTGATAGGTAACTTGGCAGGTTGGACATGCCTAATTCCAGAAATAAGGATTCATGGGCATAATATTGTCATGCTGGTACTCTTCTGTGGCGATCGTGCCAAGACCAGGAAAAGAAGCCAGCAAAGTCATCAACAGGGATAAAGAGGGAGAGGAGGTGTAGGAGGGAGTAATTAACAGGTAGGGTTATTTGAATCAAGTCAAATGTCAGTACAGTCAGTCAGGAGAAGGTTGCACTCCCTTAAAAAATAAAATAAAATAAAAATGCAAAACAAGAAAAACATTGCAAGGCAGGATGATCTAATTAAAACCTACCAATCTTTTAACCAATCCACAGCCCAGCTGGAAAAACTTGACAGAAATGACTGCTGAAGACTCCTGGATATGGTGAAACTTCAGCAGCATCTTCATGGCAGAGCCAGGGCGGGTTCATGTATGCAAGAAGCATGTATGCATGTGTAGCTGTTCAAGCTAAATGGAACCAAGAGCAAGCTCCTGCTTGTTTTAGGATTGTAAATATGAACTTAAAAGAGCTGTAGTTGCACCCATAAAGTATTGAGGGAGATGGGTGGGCTGGAGGGGTGAATAAAATTAAATGGGAGAGAAAAGGGTAGCAAACTGCTTTATGCACAATGCTTTTCTTACCATACTGGCTATAAGGGAAGTCAGGTTGCCCAGTGGGGGCTTTGCTCAAGTCCTGAGTTGGTGTGGTGGCGGGGGCAAAGCCCAGAGGTGCAGTTCCTGGAGTGGTGGGCGGAGGTGGAACCTGTGGAGCATACTGGTCTGCTTGGGGTGTGCCGAAACTGTAACCTGTTGGATAGGAATAAGATTATTCCAAAGATCTTTCCCTAAGGACCATTTCCTAGTGTTGCCTTATCACAGATTGTACATTATGTTGTGTAGTATGACATTGGTTAAGCCCCACCATTGCTGTTCTCAAGTAAAATACAAAATTTCTTCCACAAGTAGTATTTGACTTAAGTTAAAGTCTTGTCTGTATTTTGAATGTAAAAAAATCCAGTTGACTATACCATTGCAAAAAAACACTACTAGCCAAGGTATTAATCAATTTCTCCACCAAATCTCTTCTCACTTTAGACTGTAAGAATACCAAGTTGCAACCACATGTCTTTTATAATTACCAGCTGCCAGATCAAATTGTGGCCACTCCGCCAACACACTTGTAAAGGATTGTTCGGAGCTTCTTTCTCACTTGTTTTACTAATATTTTGTGCAGGATTTACAAAACATGAACCTGGTCTGCTAACAAGTTTAATCTATAGAAGCATTTCATGAAATGCCGGGTATCTGCGAGTCCCACTGTCCATCTCTGATAAGATGGAGGTTCCTCCCTGACCACAGCAACAGCAAAGCTGCCTGGAGAACCTGATATAGATTCAATTTACACATTTTACATATCTTAGTAAAAAATAAATAAATAAAAATACTGCCATGAGGAGCTAGGGGTTATAAAAATGTAAAGTTCTCAGTCAAAATCAATATCAGGTATAAGAAAATCCTAATAATTCACAGTATTACCTTTATATATGCTATATATGCTACATTATCTGTAATCACCTTCTAGTGATGTCAAATAAACACTTAAGTATAATGAGTGAGTGGATCATGTATTACTGACCAAACTGAGGTGCTGTGCTGTAGCCCTGTTGAGGGTAGCCCTGAGGTGCAGCAAAGCTGCCCGCCGGGGTCGTGACCAGGAATGCGTTGAAAGGTGATGGAGGTTGTGTGGGTGTTCCTCGGCCTGCAGACAACGGAGGTCCATACCCGCCTGCTCCAACAGAGAACAGAACTATGTCATATGCATGTTTTTATACAAATATCTGTATATGTTTTATATAAATCATCGGTTCTTGAATTATGAAAAAAGAAAAGTGCCAGCACAGATGTACTCTATCTGAATTGCATCATTTCAATTTGTCATGGTCTTACTGAGCATCTGAATAAAACATTGATAAATAAATGGTTTAAAAAACTGAATAAGGATGCTATCTGAAACTGAATGAAACTGTAGTATCCTTTGAGCGAGCACAGGGCCGACACTGCAGTGAGTGCTGCAGGTTGACCCGGAGGTGGTGATATGAAACCAAGCCTGACCAATAGCAGAGGGAGGCCGGAATACATTCAAGGCTGCCATCTGTCTCGAGCAGCAAATTATCAGCAGCCTCAGCCATTATGAATCAGTGATAACACGTGCTGTTAACTGTCATCAGCTTATTGGCCACACTGAGTGCATGCTTGCTCTGTGACACAGGCATTTCAAGATAAGCACATGATCACATGGCAAACACACACATCTATCTTCTCAGTTGTGCAATATACAAAAGAAACCCCCAACTAATTCACTAGACTGGAAAGACAGGATATTATCTATGTGTGGTCAAGTGGCGGTCTAACACCTACCTATGGGTTGGCCAGTAGTCGACACCCACACTCCTTCAGGAAGAGAGAAAAAAAATTTAGACTGAGGGCAGTACCGATGCCTGAAATATAAAATGTTCACATAACACAGTTTAACATTCAAACAAACAGTGCGAGCAGTGACCACCACGCACAGGGTTAATGTTAAAGCAGTGGGTTAAACACATTTTAACAGTTACTACTAGGTCTTCATCTGAACAGCGAGCGTCACTGGCTCTGCTCTTGGACTTGTTCCCACTCACCCTGTGGCCCGTAAGGCTGTTGCCAGCCCTGAGCAGGCTGTGCTGTCCAACCATTAGCTGCACTCAAGATGCCCCTGGGTGCCCACTGGCCAGGGCCAAGCTGGCCAGGAGCTTTGCTGTCACGAGGTTCAGCCTTCTTTACTTCCACCTGGACAAAGGACAAGGAGGGCACATTTGGCAACACCAGCATACGATCTAGAAGTCCCTCACCTAGACATACCTGTCCTACCTCTGATATTCAATATCAACATTTTGGGCCAGGTTGGAATCTTTCACTTTAGGCTCTTTCGAATAATGTGGGGCAGCCATGTTAATTAATATTACTGTGTAGCCAGGAGAGCTGTACAACTATGTGTCTCAGGTACTAATTATCAAGCGGGAATTTCAGAGTGCCCAAAATCATATGGCGACAGTACACGTACATTTTTTCAAAGCATCGTGTCTAGATAACAACTTCTTGAGAGTACCTGAGAAACATAGATTTCTTTTTTTCCCTTAAATGAATTGCCCTATATATGATAAAGACATCTAACGGAAGGTCATGACTTACCTTTCTCCGGCTAACGCTTATAAAGAATCTCATTTTTACTTTATTTGGAATAAGTTTTTTGGGGGAAGGGGTGGATGTAGAGAGAAATTTGTATCTCAGTCCTAACAGAATATTAAGTAAACATGCAGATAGTACAAATGAAAAGTCTTTTCAGTCAATCTAAAACCGAATCTTCATACTGTGTCAAAGGTGAGAAAACATTTTTCAATTGAGCACAAGTGACTGATACAGTAAGACCCCAATACCATGTCAAATCGCTGCTGGAGGACACGTCTACAAAACTAAAGGCTAAAATATTACAATAGTGACGCCAAGTTTCTTTTTTGTTGATATTTTAAATATATACAATATAAAGAACACTTATTGAAAGCCACAAATGTTACTCAGATTTTTTTTTTTTTTTTTTTTTTTAGGAACTAGTGTCTTAGACTGTTGATTTATTAATGCTCTGAAACTAACTTTATTCATCCATTCCTTTACTTATATTTGTGTTTTATACAGAATATCATCCATCGCTGTAATAGGTTAAAGCCTTGAGTCAAATATAAATGTATTGCCCCAATAACAAAACTTCCTGTCTAACTGTCTGTAACTAGGCAAAGCTACCAGCAGTTAACCAGAGCATAGAAACAGGCTGAGACTAAGGGGGAGCCAACCAGAAATAGACTGAGAGGTTGAGTTATTGGGGTCACCTTGCAGGAGGAAAACGAATCACAGATTCCTCCCCGCTTTAAGGTGTTGCCACCTTCCCCAGCCTCCCCTCTTCCTTCTCTGTCGACCTAATTACATGCACATGTTTCCGGCAGTGTCCTCGCCGCCGCCGGCAGCTACCTGAGCACTTTCTCCCGTGGGCATCACAGCTACGAGTGATGGATACCATGACTTCTGTACAGTACCCAACAGCAGAAGTGGGATTTCTTCCACAGTTTGATGTGCTCCAATTTCTAATTTTGTAACTCATATCTCCCAGCCTCCCTCAAGTCCCATCGTAAGGTAATGTCAAGTCAAGAACAATGGATTAAGTCGAGCCGTGGTTCTTGCTGAAAACCAGGGCAAAGTCAAGGGGGGCGGCTAGCACTGGAGAGTACACATGCAGGGCTGAATTATTTACCAAGGAAATGGGATTGAGATCATCGCTGAAATAATCGGTGACATTCCAACAAAAATGTCTTGCTACTCTTTATCTTTGATTAACATAAGAAAAATCCATCTTAAATAACACAATTACATATACTGGCATAAGCAGGTGTCTGGAAGCTCTTTTCTAGGGAAATAATGCACTTCATTTATAGTTTGTTTAGAATAAACTGAAAAGGAGCGCCCCAGGTGGTCAAGACATTTGAGGTGGTGACCACAAACCGCAATGTGCCTGGTTTGCATGTGGCTGGGGTACTTTAGTGAAGTGTCATTTTCTAATTCAGACCTGACACACTCTCTCCCCTCTTGTCATCTCTCCACTGTCCACTCTCAAATACAAGAACAAAAGGCTCCAAAAAATAACCATGACTTAATAGATAAAGAGTGCACCACTGAAAGAAATTTAAGCTTCATAAAGAAAAAAACACAGTTGAATACTGCTAACTCTATCCTAGGAAGTGCAGAAACACCGCAGCAAACAGCACTTTTCACCAAATGTGGATGCTGCTTGAATGTTGTCAAGAGAAGTTAAAACCGTCACATAAACGCCAAAATATACAAATGGGTCTTCAGAGTGTCAAATACTGCAGACTGACATTCAAAAATTTAAAACACTTGTAAAGTGCAGCCACGTAAAGATCAGAAGGACGGAAATGAGATACCTGCTATGATATGATATGACTGAGTGGATTTAACTACACTGTGTTTGACTTTGATCATTTTCTTATGCCCACAAATCATTAATGTTTGCACAGAGGGCAGAAAGGAGACTGTCTCTCTCCTGGTATCTCTGTAGAGTAGTTTAAAAGCTGCTAATTACAAAATGTCTCTTTTGGGGAAAAGGGGGATTGTTAATGAATGAGAGCTTTAAGTGCCTTTAAAACCCAAGTGTCGGACCAATCCTTTAATATACGTGGTATATGTACAATATGTTTTTGGTTGGTTTTATTCAGCTGAGGTGCCAGGTGGGTGGTGTTTGCCACATACAGTAGAACAACAGAAGGGATGCCAGAAGATTAGGAATTGTGCTTAAATACTACACCACAGTGAATCTATGGTTTTTTTTCCCCAGATGGACCTGCCACTATCTGAATTGTCTTTGAGCAGTAAACCCCATCCATCTGGTGCACCTACTGAGTAAAAGCAAACACTAAGAAGTAACATGCAAATATTACTGTGCGACTAATGTCTCATCCTAAGCAGCATTTTAGAGACTTTTGATCTGTTATTGAGAAAACTGACACAGTGTGGAGATTCTTCAACTGAGGTCACTGATCTGAGCTTTTTCTTTAACTTTTCAAAAAGAAAAAAAAAAAACATGTTGACATTTAAGTGACCTGCCAACAAAATATCAGAAAACAAAAGAAACAGAACAGAATGGACCAATCCTTTAGGTGATTTGTGGTCTGTGAATTTCCGCAGGATTTAAAGCCTTAACCTTTTCCATTATTTCGTTATAATTTTTCATTTTATTGGCACATCAAAAGCCAGAAAATAGTATAAATTTAATGTTTTGAGGAGAATCTAATGCACTTAAGACATCCTAAAGGAGTGGTCTGTTTAAACAAAGCCTTGGGCGACAATTGTAACTGTAATATAACAGTATTTGTCAAGGATGAGTAGCTATGGAAACTATGACAGCAATACTTTAAGCAAAATAAGATAAGCAAAATAAGTCAGCAGCCTAATTATTTCAAGATGTTAAAGACTAAATTTGTACTGTATGATGCTGCAGTCACTAATGGAGAACCAATGGAAAATTAGCTATGACTAATAAAAACAGCATCATAGTAAAAGTTTTGCTCCATCGCCCAAGCCTCCGCTTGATCTTAAGGGTAAAATAAAACTACAACTACACACTTTTTTGCCCATGATGTCGTGAAAATGCATGTTGACAGCCTGGTCCACTGATTGTTCGGCCTCGAAAGTAATAAATCCAAAACCTAGCCAACGACCAAGAGTGAATCAAGGTAGCAGGGGGGTTGTGACAACACAAGATGAAGAACAGTATTGGGCTTCAGCAGAGTGAGGATCCATCAAGACTGAGCAAGAGGCTCCTGGGGTTCGGATGATGTTGCAGACTTGTAGAACACAAATCCAAGACTAAAGCCTGGGGGATTGAAGGAAATCTTTCTCTTTACTGTGCAGAGATATATTTTGTGAATATAACAATACAGGACTGAGTAACTGCTAAACATGAAGGATGACAGGTGAAGCATTTGATTTAATGTGAAATGTCACATAACAACGTCAATTAAGTCGCTCTTTCACGCCCTAACAATGATAAACGCCAATTGAACCAATACTACATTGTGTTACTTCATGCTGTTTCATCCAAACCCCACCTTGATCTGTCCCTTGGTATATTGCTGTGGAGCACACACTCGCAGCAGCCATTGTTAATGCATCACAAAAATATGGAGAAACACAAACTGTAGAATGCCTAAAGCTTTCTCCAAGCTTTCCCAATTTCAATATTTTACTTTTGAGTCAGCCAGGATAAGCCTAAAATGGACAATTAAAATATTGCTCACAACAATAACACAAAGATATAGGCCATAACTGGTTTCCCATAGTGATGAGTTCCTGATTTTGCTCAAGAGTTTTAATGGGGGATACACAACGTTCATCAACAAGAATGCGTCCAAGAAAGTCCAAAGTTTAAGGACTTTTTGGTCCAACATTTCGCCGCACCAGCTACTCAGTAAACTACTTTATCTGACTATCTGTTACAGAACTTTTCAGAACGTTAGCAGGCCGCTGCGTGCTGCTGTGATCTACTTTCAACTTGATTAACTTTCCGCTGTGGCAGAATTGGGTTGTGTTCACATCTCTACTTGGGGACTTAACCTGAATCCAACCGAACATCCTATGAGACATCTGCGATTTTAGAGACCTCTAGTAACATGCCAAGCATTTCCCAAGCCTCGTGATCTATTGCTATTAATAACATCTGTCATTGACCTGTCCTTAATCTAAATTTGAAACCAAGTTGACACATATGACAGAACAGTTTGACATATCTTGGTCACATTAACATGTCTTACTCAAATTGAGATTTGACGTGTTACTCCAATCAGATTTCAGCTATCGATGAAACTGATATGTTCTAAATAATATTAGATGACAAAAAAATAAAACTTAATGAGAACCAGCAATCATTCAGACTACCAGTCATAGAACTGAGAAATCACTTAATATTATCATTTGAGGAGCTGCAACGACTTTTTAATAGTCGGTAGGCCAATTTACATAAAACCTTTTGGCAATGATTTTGATAATTGAATAAAAAGAAGATTAAGTAAGTTTTTATGAAAAAATGGCTGTTCTCGGGTATATTTTCTTGTTTTGTTATTTTACAATGACAGTAAACTAAATACATCAGTTGGTCTTTTTACTATGTTTCGACAACACTAATGAAAATGATTGCAGCCGTAATATGACCTAAAGGAAATGGATTTTTGCCCTGTGATTTCTTTGGATATCCATTTCTGAGATTCTGGTATTTACAACAATATCGTGTAAGAATCCTACATTTAGAGGATGCGAGTCAACTCAGATGTCTATTTTCTACCATAAATGAATATGCACAGATTAAGAATGAAGGTTCAAATAAGGTGGTAAGAAAATCCTTAACAAGTTAACACTTATCAGTTTGATGCAACTTTGTGTACACCCCATTTTGACTAAATGAAAAAAATTTGGGTACTTTTACATTTGGCCTGTACCTCTGTGCTACCAGTCAATGCACAGTAACCTAAAGGAGAAAAGACAAATCTTAAGAGACACCGTTAATCACATTCAAACCATTCACAAGGAGAAGGGGGACAGAAGAAAGAAAAATAGAAAGGGCTTACTTACAAAAATACTTAACTTTCTACATATGGGAAAACACATACTATGCCGTTTAAGATAAATGTATCAGTTACGTCTAAAACAAAGTAAAGAAAACTTATTCCAATGTTGAAAGTCTAATGGTTTTAGCGAAAGAAAGTGTTTATACTATTAAAGATTATGTAATGATTGTTACTGGTGCAATACATCATGTTAAATTCCAATGACAAACTATTCTGGGTTTCTCCCAACAGAGAATGAATGGGGTTTTGAAGGAAGAGCAGTAATACATGTTGTGGGTCAGTGGCCGCTGCATCATTGCTATGTAGGACAAATGTAGATGAGACAGCTATGACTGTAACTCAGTAGGCAGAGTCTGACACCAACACAGCCGGTGGCACGGGACTGATTCCCAGTGAGGCCATCCATGCTAAAAGTGTCGGCACATGCCATACACTCATGATATGTTTATGACTTATCTGGACAAACTCCTCTGAGATATTAAAGTCTGTCATTGCTACTGTAAGGAAACCAGTTGAAGAGATTTCTGAAGTGTCAAAGGACACATAAAACATTTTTTAATTATTCCATTATTCCTGGGATAACAATACTTCATTTTAATACCCTAGCGACTGGGATGAAACCTGCCTCTCTGAAGGACAAATATCCACCTAGATACTCAAACTGTTCTCAATATGCCAGTTGCATGTTGTGATAAAGTACTGTACTTTTTGGAGCACCTACTTTCCTGCAACCTGCCTTTTCGTCTTCAGTCAGGGACTCACTTTGCATCCCAGAACACCTTTAAACAACTTTCTAATCAACTGCGTTAACTTCTTCCAATTTATAAATTGTAATGGAGAGATTTTCTAGTATTGACAACCCTAAACAAAGCATACCTTACATAATATGTAGCTGTGTTATAATCTGTTACATTAAAGCTGCTGTGGGGACAAATTGGAATCACTAATTCGGAAACATACTTTTCTCTTCTTCTTTTTACCTTTAATGGTTTAAATCTCTTAAAACTTTTGGAGTTGAACCAGTTTGTACTCTGATTAATCACGCAACAGAAAATTTGATAATCCCTTAATTGCTAAAGACATGTATAAGCAAACATGCCAAAACTTGACAGGACATGGACTGTTGGTGAAACACAAAGTAAACAATGTGATTATGTCAGTTTGGGTTTGGGAAAATAGTTGTTGCAAACCCTCATCATTTTAACTGTAGCAAAGTGATGTCATGTCATGTTTGGCCAGTTATCTAAACGAGTCTCAATGTGAAGTACATCACCTACAAATACCATAATTTGTTTCAGGGTGGAATGTTCCTTTAAAACTGAGAAGGCAGTGCGGATAAAGCTTGTAATTCTTCATACATATACTCTAATAAAACTGAATGTATCACTGCTGAACTGTATGAATCAGACAAATGTTCCTCAGAGGTTTCATCAAAATGTTTGAGGGTACTCTGTGCACCATTAGCTGGGCTACTAAATGTTGATATAGAAATCATCTTTAGCCGAACAAGAATAGTCAGCAGACAAAACAATATATTAATATATTTAGAAGAATGAAGAAGTAAAGTGCCCAACTAAAGGCTTTTAAGGTAACTCCTCTCCTTGCTCTGCTTAACAGTGCCTGAAAAACAGTTTCCTTTCACAAAAAAAGTAACTGAGTACAAATGTGTCTATGAAACAGACTGTAATTGTCCCACAAGGTCATGAAGGACATTGCAAAGATGCCATCTACTGTTGTTTTATGTGAGCAAATTACATGTAATACTAAAAATTTGTGGCCTTCACATAAACTGGAGGTACTGCCATCAGGCCTGTTCAAGAATTTGATAACTCCAGTCCGCTTTTCATCTGGAAATATCACAGTATATTTTCCATTTAATGCACGCTGCAATGACCTTGTATGGGCTTCATTTCACATGCTTTTATTGCATTTTTTGTTTTATTGTGTGTCTTTACCATGCACAGAACTCCTGTTAAGGGTCACGGTGTATTAATTGAATAGAACATCTGGGGCTGAAAGGGCTTTTTCTCTTTGGGCCAGAATAGTTTGTCATGAGATTTAAGATGGTAAGGTATGGAGAGGGGAGAGAAAAAACGGGATCAGCTTTTACCTCGGGGCCTCTGCTTCTCCGCATCATAGATCATTACCACCTCTGTGACCTTGAATGGGACAAAGGGAAACAGTGGCTCCATTTAGAAAAACCAGACAGGGTCCCTTCTTATTCCAATTAAATATTCTGCCTCAATTTGGACAAATAATTAATTGTCCTATCCCATCCCACAACATTTTTACACTGTAGTATTGACCCTGTTCAATGTCACATCCATTCAAGCAGTCTTAATGACGATATGAGCTGACTTGCATTATGCACTTGGCAATACTCACCACTCCGAATCTATTGAAATAGTCCCTGAGTTCAGGCTCGCCGCAGTTATGGGGGATTCCACCTACAAATATCTTCTTTGATTTATTGCTATCGGCTTTGCTGCCCTTCTGAAAGAAAACAGGGAGTGTATAGATTTCAATGTCTGTTAAAGGATCACTCTGGGAAGGGGCCAGTTAGCCATCATCTATTCAGACAGTGAAGAAGAAATTAGGTTCTCCTCTTGCCCTCGGGTATAATTCTTAACATGTCATGTCAATGCAAACACTGGTCTCCACAGATCAGAGAACACAGCTTCCTCCACTTACTCTCAACCACTAAGCATTTCAACACTGCTGTGTACTGCACTCATGCTATAAAGGCTAGAGGCTGCTTACGACAACAATGATTTTTACCAATTACATCTTCTGCTTTGTTAGTAAAACATTCAGTACCAACTACATGACTTAAACTCAGTGAAATGAGCTCCAGCAGCACCAAGATTGCCTCATTTATAAAATCTTCTAACATACAGGCTGTGTGCTTACAGCCAAACATCTGACTAATAAAAATGTTTTATTGACAGCAAAGGTGCAATAATTAAAACCTTGGCTGCCAAAAGGGACAAAATGACTATAACAGATCTGCAGGGGTTTGATAGCATTGTTGATCGACCCACAAATTGCCCAAATTGGTGCAGAGATTTCTGCCCAACAAAAAAATTCACTGCTGTTCTCTACTATAGTAGCTTAGAAATCTTCCCGTGTTTTCACAGTTTTACACTTGCAAGAACAACATATTTGAAATACCAAGGCTAGAATTTTGTTCTTAACTTAAAGATCAAGAAAACTGTAATAGGTAATGCGAGGTGCTATTATAATTCCAATATTTAGCATGGTAATACAGGTTTGTCACATCCTCATGAGGCATTTTTCTAACATCTGGGAAATTGCGACCTTATTATGTGTCAATCCCAGGCCAGTGTAAGCTGTACCAGAGATCTGCTGATATTGCTGCAGTCCCTTGGTCACAAATAGAGGTCGATACAAGTCATAGATTCTTTAATGCTTCTGTGATTTTTCAAAGCCCCAAACTAATTTCTAGGATTCTCAAAGGTATGAAGCCTGTGCAATGTGATCTTTAAAATAAAATCCCACTCTTTGAAGAAAACAAAAAATCGGAAAATGAGATTTAGGTCAAATGCCAGAGTGATTTTATAAATGAAGCTCAAGGTCTCCTCATGGCCCATGAACAGATACCAGAGTTCAACCTAAAGAGGAGGAGAGGATGGAGAGACTGACAGCCTTATTCCATCAGAAACACCTAACCTAACCTTCCCAGAAGAAATCAGATTCCTCTTACCCAGCCCTCCTTGGTTCGAGACTTTTCAGGTTGCATTCCTCTAGGAGTGCATGGCTTCGGGTCAATCTGACAGCAAAGAGAGAGAAAATGTTTGCCCCAAATAATCTTCAAATGTTCATCTTCACTGCTTCCAGTTCAGTATATTGGCATGCCTAACACAACTGGTCTACATACTGTATGAACTGACATACATCCTTTTGAATATGTGGCCAATAAAATACCATGCCCTTCTCTGTCTCTGTCAACAGAACAAATGAGGCAAAATGTCATTCATAGGGGAGGAGACACAACAGCACAATAAATGCAGAGGGGAAACTGGATTAACAACAGCTTGTTTCTTTTCAGCCATCTCAGGGAAATCCAACTTCAACTGCCAATTTTGCCCATTTGACTTTGAACAGGTAAGTCTTGTTAGGCAAACAAATGTTAGTCATTGCAAAGTAAATCATCTGTACTATTGGCTGCAGGCAGGTACAACCCAAGTCATAATTGTATTTCTCCTTGAATAACTTCTAACTACTGTGGATGATGAAATACAGTTAGTTTTTCACTATGCTCACACAAAGCGCAGGAAGATTACTCAGACTGATTTGACTATCTGCTCCTTTGATTTAAAATACTCACATTTCTTCCATCAAGATTATGCGGCTTTGTTTCCAGCACTGTCCGTACACAATTGGGGTCTTTGAATTTGACGAAGCCGAAGCCCCGCGACTGATTTGTAGTTTTGTCCTTCATGATGACACAATCCACTACTTCTCCATACTGTGAGAAGTAGTTTCTAAGTGTCTCTGAGAAAAGACAAAAATTACATAACATGGAGTGTCACAAAAATAAGCACAGAATCATACAATAATATTGCAAATGTGCAATTATAATAAAAGATTTAACTCAACCAAGTTAGCCTCTAGAAACAAAGAAGTGCATGACATGATTTATAGAACTCATGCTTTAATCATGACAAATTGTACTATGAAAATATCTTCAGCACTTTAACCTGCACTAAAACCGTAAATGGGACTAAAACAAAAAAACAAAAAATACCAGCGCCACTTCATAAAATTACACAGGGAATACTAAAAGTCATTCAGTGACCTTGATTTTGTCTTATAGTGGAACATTGTGCCCATGTTTTTTTAAGTGAAAACATAAACATACAAACACATTCAAATCACATATTGCCACTCCTAAAGAGCAAACAAAGGACTGACCCACTGTCATCTTACATAGAACCAAACATATACGCAACTACTGCATTGCCAGCACACACCCACAGAGGCAAGGCGTGCAAGTTTGAACAAATGAGGAGTCACTTTGGAGAAAGTTATCGTAATTGTTTTTCTCATTGCTGAAAAGCCCTGGGGCATCGAGCTCAGACTTACATAGCACTGTGGTTCAAATCTTAATGTTAACAGTGCTGCTAACACAGACAAACCCTTGTGTAAAGTTACACAATGGCCAACCGAGCATGAGCCAGTAAAGTGCTTTGGACAAACTACACCAACTCCGTGCAGCTCTGAAGGAGAGAAGAATATATACACAGGCCCAATATATGTCATGTAGTGTAGACTCTACCACCCGTGTTTGCGGTTTGCAACTGATCATCAGTAATTATGAAATGTGTAAAGAAAGAAATTATCAAAAATCACAATGACAAATTCCAAATAAAGGAAAACTGCATTAAAAAGGAGGAAAATTGGCCACTGACACTGACTGGAAGACACTTAGTGGGATATTTGCTGTAAACTACAAAACCACTGAGCTGAGCTGTACCAAAGTGATATTTTATATGCAGGGCTATTGTACTCTAATGTGTTTTTGTTATTTTGTCCACTTTGGTGTTATATTGTCCACTCAATGCAATATGAATGCATTAATTTTATCATACAACACTTGATATTGTCTGTAATTATAGTGATTGTGTGACAAAGTTAAATGTTATATTTTGCAAGTTACTTATAAGGACACACTTGTCAAAATTTTACATTAGTGGATATAAACATGCTTTTTCCACATGAAATTACTATTTTACAAAAAATCAACCAAGCTTCTCAAGTACATCAGTATTAATGTGAGCCTCAGATACAAATATATATGAATATATTCCCTGAATACAACAAAACATTTATTTAAATCATATCAGGCATTATCGGAGCAATAAATAAAAAACAATATCTTTATATGCTTGACCATGATAGCCATGTTAATGATAATTATTGTCAGAGACCATGTCACACACATTAATTATCGATTATTGCGTAAAAACAACCTGATTCACAAAAATACCATTCAATATTGATGTCAAGGCAGAAGCCAAATATATCATGATTTTATGACTAAAATCTTCCAGATTTAGACTTTACTCCTAAACTAAGTGCTACCTACTTGGGGCCTGACAATCTCATAATTACTTTCCAAACAAGCAACCAGCCAGATCCTCCAGTCTGACAAAAAATCCATGCAGCTACAACAGCATCATCCAGACAAATTCCTGTTAATTAAAAAATACTTTGCACATGAAAAGGCTGAGCCTACACAGATTAGAAAGTGTGACTTACCTTGTGTGGTACTCCAGTCCAATCCACCCACAAAAAGTTTCCTGTTAAGAGTAGATAAATTACCATCAAGTCAGTCATTGATCATCACATTAAGTTAGAGTAAATGATAAACTATTAAAAGCATCTTGACAACACTCATCCATAAAGGCAGGCTAAAACCATAGAAAATGTTGCTTGGCCAGAGGCCTTGAAAAGACTAAAAACACAAAAATCTTGTGTGTTTTTTTGTTTTTTGTTTTTTTTGCAATTTTCAGAACCATAACAACGCTACAGCTGACTAAACAGCCAAGTACACAGATATTACACAACACGAGGCAACGCGCCACCAAAGCGCTGCTGCTGCAGCATGGGGAGATATACACACAACTACAGTTTAAATACCCCTGTTTTATTTGACTCATGTTTATGTCCAGCCCTGGTCGTGGATGTCACTTTAGTCCTCTAACACAGACTGTAATGGCCTCGACAATAAAGGTCTTTTTATGAACCTCCTGCCACGTAAGTTACTCCGGGACAGAGCCATGGCGTTTAGCAAGCTAACACAACACTGAGCTGACTCCAGAAGCTCAAGCAGTTACCCTCCACCACCGGCTTCAGCCTTAAACACTGAAATCCCGAGTATTCTCCAGTCGGAGCGGAGGAGAGGAGAGCGGCTGCACAGCTCCCTGCATGCGGACCGGTGAACTCGGGTGCAGGAAGTTTAACGACAGTTTAAACGGCACCACTCTCACTCTAGCTAGCGAGTTTATTAAGGTGTTAACAAAATCCCTACTACATAATACTGGCAAATGCAGCGACTGTGACAGAAGCGGAGGTTTAGTGCAGACGAGGATGCTCCATCCTCCAGCAGTGCCCGCTAAATGTCCTCGCATTGGCGAAGTCGAGAAGAGGAGACTTTCGCTTCGCTGGCAAGCGTTAGCTAAGCTAGCTCAGCTGCTTCGAGCTAACTGAAAACAACACTGAAATAAGTAACTACACCTTCACACGTTCCCTTGGCAAGCAAAGTGGCAGCACTACAGACAAACGTGGCATCTTTCTCCCTAAACAATGACAGTGACAACTGAGGTACTTCAATGATTAGTTTCACTTTTTATCCGTCTTTCCTCGGGCTAGCGATCTCGCTAAGTTACTACAGCTAGCTTAGCCTGCTAGCTAGCGTTAGCTGTCAAATGACAGCTTGACCATAGAGCGCGCTAACTGTCAGTTAAAAAGCTTTTTACAGTTTGATGCATCCGCAGCGAAAGGCTTTGTTAAATGGATCTTACCCGACTTCATCTCCGACTAAGTTGTTGTTCATTTCTGAGGCTAGAGTGGGGGACTGTAGGAGCTGTGACCGGCTTATTGCTTCAGTGCTGCCCCTCTCAGACTGAGAGCGGAGGAAGGTCACTCCGCTTTTTGGTTCAAACTGTTCTGCGCAATGACGACGCTGCAGGGGGCAGCGGCCTTTAAAGGAACATTACACCCAACAAAACGCTCAATTTACTGTTTCAATCATTCCAGGGGGTAGCTAAGTGCTTTAAACCCAGAGGTCTTTTTATTTCGCAGTTAGTTCAATAAGCATTCCTGTCAGCCAGTAAGCTTTTATAAGGAAAACAGCAATAAATAACCCTAACAATACTGAATGATGACCAACAAAAGGCATTTGATCAACAGCGAAACAATGGAAAGCAGATAGACCTTCCTGCAACTCTCCTATCTGATCCTTTAATTTTTGATCTTGGGTTGATTATGCAATTCAAAGATATCTAACATGTGGCCAAAGATGGATTACTAACTGAGCAAATGTTAATCTATTTAATTTGGGTATGCATAATTTCAATAATCGCAACTTGAAGCATGTACCACTTGAAGCACTCTCATATATCAACCCTCACTGGTCCTCCACCATTCATCTTGTGGTCATGGTCTTGCAGAGTTAAAATCTGGTTTTAAGAGCTTTAAGACCACAGAAAATGTCAGGCAATGTAGTGTTATTTCATCACTAGCAATTATTTTCATTATCAATACATTAAACAGTTATTTTCTTTAATTGTTCATTGTGTAAAATTCCAGAAAATAGTGAAAATTAAATAATTAAGCTGCCGTGTATAGTGGGAGTCAATATGGGCCCTGAGAACAAGTTTTTGCCCCTGGGGATCCTCAGGAGGTTAATCCGGCCATGCGTGTGGCCTGATTATTAGACCCATGATGGGATAAAAGGAAAGATAACATGGTAAAGAAAATCAGCCAGAAGCATTCTGTCTATAGGTCAGAGGATATTATGTTGAACAACATCTGAAAAAATTTCCCTTTTTCCAGACCTGTCTATAAGAAAAAAAACATATACAGTATAAAAGTATACGCAGATCAAATTCAAACTCACAATTACATATGCAATAGACAAATTACTTCTGGCTACATTAAAGAAAACAATAACAAGTAGCATTCAGAGTGCCACAGTGTAATGTTGTGAAACCTTCGAACAAAATAAGAGATTTTAACTTTACAGCCCATTCCATGCAAGGAGCATGGTATTTAAAACCAGTTTAAGTTAGAAACAATAGATACAACCATCACCAATCTATTTTATTTTATTTTATTTGAAAACTGAAAGCTTGGCCTGTGTTGGTGCTACAACAAAGGTCCCAGTGAGCGTCCTAATGTCCAAAATCAAAAAGGTACCTTCCTCTTTGCATCAAAGAGGAAAAAGCAAATTTTATGTAAATTCAGCCCTTAGTTTTCAAAATCTGTTGCTGACAAATTGCACAGAGGAAATTGCACACACAACATCCACTCTTTCGCTGAGTTAATAAAACACCACACAGCATGCATTAAGTTGTGGCATTTAAAACTTGAAATGCAAATCCAAGTGACAGAGGTGACACATAATGTAGTGTGATTAAATAACACCTCTCAGGCACAATGCCCATTAATTTCCTTTTTAAAAATAGCCTGTGACAACACGAGTGACTGAAGTGTTAGAAGTGAGTAAATCTCTGTTTATGTTAACAAGCCACACTGATGTACGGCAGTGTCCAAGCACGGACCAACCACATAGATACTACAGTATATTCATTTCATCTTCAGAGAACTGATCTGAAGAATTACAGTATGTACAGAAACAGTGGCTATGTGTAAACTGAACACTGTGACATCTTCACAATTACATATTCACTCATTGTCACATTTCTACATCACCGGCAGCAGCTAACAAACTCTTCTATCTTCACATCAAACATCAGAATGGGAAAAAATCTGATCTCAGTGACTGTGGCATGATTGTGGGTGCCCTTTAATACTAATCAATCAATCAATCAATTTGACCATGTGTTTCCATTTATGGCCAAAATCTACCATCTACTTCCAGCATGATGATGCTGTCACAAAGCAAACGCCGTCTCAAACTAGTTTCATGAACCTGACAGTGAGTTCAGTTTACTTCAGCGGTCTCCCCAGTCGCCAGATCTGAATCCAATAGAACATTTTTGTGGTTGAACAGGAGATTGGCAGCGTGAATGTGCAGCTGACAAATCTGCAGAAATGATGTGATGCAGTCATTAACACGGAGCAGAAACTCATGTTCAATGTTTCCACCTTCTTGTGGAATCCATGACACAAAGAAGTGAGGCTGTTTTGAGAGCAAAGGGAGCCTCTCCCCAATACTAGTATGGTGTTAATAATAAAACGAGTATATGATCAGTTTATAAAATACAACACACTGTTATAGAATAAACTTTCCAAAATTAGTAACTCTGTTACTCTTACTTTAGTAAATTATCTAAATACATCTATTATTATTTATTATTTAGTTTTCTTACAATTTTTTGTTTAGATTATCTTTTTCAAAAGTATTATTATTTTATTTTGCAATGAAGCAGTTTTTCCATTTTTCTAGTTTTATGACAAATCAACAAAACTGATAGGACTGAATTTTCTTGGGTATAAAAATACACAAGATATCTGTTAATATAAAGATACTTTGTGTGAAAACCAGACCATCACATTTGCACAAGTTGCCTATCTATAGTGTGTGATTTAAGACATATGCAAAGTCAAATATGTAGCTTACTCCATGACATTATTGAAGAACTAATTAACAATAAAAATAGCAACACACAGATGTTCTTTTTGGTAGTATTCCCCAAGCTTTCACAGAGCTGCCAGTGGGAATCACAAGTGTCAGAACGAATTCACCTTCTCATTCAGTTTAATGTTTGTCTCTGGTAGATATTCTTGTTTCTATGTATCCCTTTTGTATCAGTCTTAGAGGACAAAATGAGGTCACACATCAGTTTGTCAGGATTTCTAACAGACCCTCTACTGGGACCGTAGTCCATCTAAACAGGGTTTTTCAAATTACAACGTAAGTGGGGAAAACAGCTTGATCAGGTTTCTCAGAGGAAACTGGCACGTGTGAAATGGGTCCTATTTTGTTAATAAAGACTTGAAATAGAGCAGGAGGAGAAGGCAATGTCATGTTGTTGGTGTGATTACCTAATGTCCCCTGGATTGTCTGTAACTACCCTCTGCTTTGAAATAACTCTGGTTATGTTAGAATGGCTCTACGGGGGTTATTATCATCAGACTCAGGACTGTTAAATTGTTCAGCTATATTCTCCAGATAAATTACATTTTTTACATTTTTTCATTAGCTTATAGCAGACCTTTCAATCTGGCTTTAGCCATGTTTCTGAGCCAGTTCAGATATTTCTCCTCACAGATCCAAGGTTTTCAAATCAGTGAGTCAGAATTTTTAATTCGAATCTGATGTGGATGAAGTGCTACAGTTCAAAGAGGCATTTGACGTAAAGGGAAGACTGTAATGAAAGTCAATCTTGCATCAGCCATTTGAGACAATTTTCATCATACCATAAAACCGAGGACTGCCATTGCCAAAAAAAAAAAAAAATGTCACTGAGAGAACAGCACCCTCTCCCTGTTGTCTGCAATACAGGAAGACGGCAGATTTCCCTCCAAATCTGAGCTAATGGCACCATATCCATTACACCTCATAATATCTTAAGTTAAGTTGTTTTTCCTTGTTCAGGTTTTGTCAAGATATCGTTCTGGGTTTTGTCTCTGAGATTAATCACCACAAATTTCTTTATTTGTACATAAATGAATACATTTTTTATGCTTCCGTGTCCACACCATGAAGATGAACTGAATTTTATTTGTGATGCTCACTCTAAATTTAAAAAATCAACAGTAGCATCTTTCCAGAAACAGTCTCTGTTACTTTGGATCCACGGAACAAGCTGTAAACAATTTTCTTTTGGCCGTTTGTTTTTGGGAGAAAGTGAAATCTTAACACAAAAAACACCTTCTGTGACAAAATTACCCAAAACTTAAATTTATAAACAAATTTTGAAATGTATAATGGCTATCTTTGGTTTCTAAATACATTGCCAATCACAATGCATAGCCTTAATGTGTTAGGCCAATCTTCTAATATTAAATGAAATAGATAAATTGATCAACTGTTAAATGGGAGATTCAATGATTTGATAAATAAATGTTTTGCTGTATAAATACTACAAAATTCTGTAGTATAATATATAATACAACAATCATATAATAATTATGGCACATATATGGTTTGACATACAATCCCAATCTAGCTAAAATTATGAAATTGCAAAAAACTGCTTATTCCTTTGTCCCTGCAGCAGCACTTGTACAGTGTAACATCCCATAATCTCTTCACACTGCTCATTTGGTGGGGCAGAGAGCAGTGGAGAGGAGCAGTGAATTCAAATGGGGTTTGCAAATGATATGAGTGTTTGTTTGGAGCATAGGTGGAGTTTACCTTAGAGTAAAAAAGAATAAAAGCAAGAAGGTTTAAACTGCTTAACAATTGACTAAGTGTACTTACCTGTGACTGACAACTTCTTTGAACTGTAATTTACAGTTAAACCCATGACAATTTGTCTCTAAGATACTATAGCTGACTCGTTCAAATGCTTTAATACCTCCAACTGTTAGGCAAAGAATTGCAGTTGAAAGAAGAATTTGTGTACCAAGAGGCTTGACTTATGATGTCATCCTCGTCCTGTTGTACCGTAGAAAGCAGAAGAAGAATGCATCTAAATGCCACACCTTAGACATTTTATATTTCGATTTTATGAACTTAATCTGCTGAGTTTGGTGAATTCGCTGCTCACTCCCTATTCTGGCACATTTCCACAGTCTGTAATTCTGTGAACAGATGTCTGAGTGAAAGCCATCCCACATCATGGAGAGCAGGGTGCTGTAAAGACCAGAGGAGCATGTTCAGCCAGAGACTCACAAGTGCTCCTGGATGCCACAGGAGGTCCTTCCTTTCTGCACAGTACTCTTCAGTACACTTTTCATACTTTTGCACAGTATGGTTGATTTGCTGTTAAATTACTGTCTATTTATTC